ATTTTTATTCAGGCAGCAGTGAGAGGTTCAACTGATGTTGTGGCTCGTTATAATCTACCGGATTCTTTCTAAATAATTCCTTCGACAGGTATTAACAACATGCTTTCTTTTTTAATGGTCTTGATATTCCACTAATCAAGCTATCCTTTCTGTTGCAATACTGCTGTCTCTAAGCTGCACCTGATAATGTAACTCCTAACAATATTACAGACTGTTGTTAACTCTAGCTAAAAACATTTACTCAGATGAATGCTAACTCAGATGTGGAAATAACTTTCAGCGAAGCACTGGATGCCCTACCAAAATGCTTAAGAAGGCTACATTTTGTTTTATGGATCTGAAAGAGATGTCCATTTAACTCCAATTACTATACTGCTAATGATACAGCATCTTTTGATTCTTTTTGCCTAGTTTTTTATACATATTAAAGCAAACTAATGCATATTCCAATAAAGTTATATCTGCTTTTGCCTTTATTTTAAACAGAATAATATAGCCCTCCTTCTTCAGCAATCCTTCACAGTCAAGGATGATTGTCTTCCATGATTATCTTATCTGTGGTCCGAAGATGGCTGATGAGGCTGATCCAGGACTAATAGACTCTGCTGCGACTTGGGCATGTGTTTCTGAATGGGGTGGGTGGTTCCAGATTCTTGATTCAGTCCATAAAACACTGTTTCTGCTGCTCCCGCTTTTCCATTTCCTGTTGTTATCGTAAGGTTTCAAAGTACTGAGATTCTTGCAACAGACTGTTCCTCCATTTGGGGTGGCCCTAGGTGATAGTCTCCCATGAATTGATGTGGTTCTTCCAATTTTTTAAGTTGGCCTTGAGGATGCCCTTGAAGCACTTTCTCTGCCCTCCTCTTGAGTGTACACCCTTACTGAGCTGAGAGAATAAAACCTGCTTTGGAAGTTTTGAGTTGGACATCTGGATGACAGGGCTGACCCAGTGAAGTTGATGTTGGATGATCATTGCCTCAATACTCGTGGAGTTCGCTTGCGAGAAGATGCTAAGTCGGTGCATCTATCTTCCCACTGGATTCAGAAGATCTCCTGCAGGCAGTGTTGCTGGTACTTCTCCAGTGACTTGAGGTGTCTCCTGTATGCTGTCCACGTCTTAGCTCCATATGGTAAGGTGGGGAGCATGATTGCTTGATAAGCTATGAGCTTGGTTTTGAATCTGGTGTCGTGATCTTCTAATACCCATTTCCTCAGGCATCCAAAGGCTGCATTTGCACATTTGAGGAAATGTTGGATTTCTTCATCAATGTCAGCCTTCTGAGAGATGGCTTCAAAGGGAAGGGAAGGTAGGGAATATAGCCCTACATCCCTAGCATATTCATAAAGCATCTCATTTCCTTTAGAGAAAAATGTATTGTGTTATGTGGGATGATGCACCAAATAGTCTGCAACCCCTTTTAAAAATCCTAGATCCACCCATGTATACTAACATATACTTTAATTTTTTTCTGTGGAGGCAAGACCTGAGATGGGCTTGACTTCTGAGAGTCTAAGTCTCCACTGCCTTGTAGTGAACGTGGTCACTGACTTACCCTGTTCAAAGGGAATATAAAACGTGGCCAACCTGGTTTGAAAGCATTTATCACCCACTTTGCACTCACTTTGCACAGGTAAATGACAACACAGGATCCAGGTAGCAGGGAAGGACGCTTTGGGTGTGAAAAAGAAGCAAGAACAGAAGGATTTCCTCCTCTCACCTACTGCACTATACTAGATGGGGAATTCCTTTTTGTAGCAGCAATACTAATTTTCCACTTCCATATCTTAACATTGCTGAGGGCTCTTTGGTATAACAATAACTGTGAGAATCAGCAACCAGGACTTCTATTTCCTCATCCTCAACTTATAGCTAACAATGCTTATCTGCCTTAGAGAGGAGCTGTGAGGATACAGTTGAGCAGTGTGTGACTAAAACTTGATAGACAAGAAACTGTGAATTTAATTTCCTTCCTCTAACTTTTGTTCCCTCTCTATTTATCTGGCAACCAATCTGCTTAAATAAGCAAAATAATCATAAGAGGATAGGTAAAAGAAAAGTAACATAACTTATAGGTTTTTTGGGACAGAAACTATATCTGATTAGGTATCTGTACTTGCTTAGCACAACAGAGACCTCATCTTGTTTGGGGATTTTGAATAAAATGGCAATATAACAAAAATATTTGCCTCTTGCCCTTGCCCTCTTTCTCCAGATATCTTTAAGACCAGCACTGCCACAATCCAGCCTTCTAAACTGCAGTGCATGTTAACCTCTCCTCCTTCTGCTAAGCCAGTGGAATTGAGTAGCACATGTGGAATTATATCAGTCAAATTCCTATTCTGTGTACTATGTCCATTATAGTGGTAATGACATTTCCAGCTTCATAAACTGTACTCCATTGAGGAGGCTGTGGGGATGCTTTAGAGAGGAGGGCTCTGAATCTTCATTGCTCAGCACTCTCTTTATTCATGTTCACCAATGCAAAGCAAGTGTATAACGCTATTGAGTCAGAACAGCAGCCTGTGCACCCACTTCGCACGGGTATAACTGACTCCACAAAAGTGTATGGTAATAGAGAATCAGACCAACCTAAGCCATGCATTGAAGGATCTTAAGTAACTACCTTGTATCTTTGTTAGGACAACTGGACAAAGGTGTATTTCTGAGGGAGGTGGGCATGGAAGAGAGGTGTCCTTATCAACCATGCATGTTTGGTGCTCACTATGCCTTGGAAGAGTGGACACCCCTTTAAACTGTGAAGGACACAAACGGAGAGAAGAAACTTGCAGCTGTCTGAGCTGTTTGCCTGTGGGCTTCATGTTGCGGAAGGACTCCTTGCTATGGAGAAAGGTATGCCTCGTTAGGGCCAGATCCTGAACTCTTCTTTCAAGAGTGTTAATTGGAAACACAGATGTGAGAAGACATGAGAGCTGTCCGGGGTGCTGAACGAAAATCAAAATCAACGTCACCATCACGGGTGCTGAAAGGTGGCCTTGGCCAAAGGAATAGGCAGTAAAGGTCAGTGGAGGCATGGCTAGACCAGGGAGTTTGGGACCCTAGGGCTGTTATACACTACTTACTCAAGGTACAAAGCGTACAGGGATTGCGAATGTTGAGATCAGTGCAGGTAATCTACCATCCTTTGTTAGAGAATATTACAAGTACCTAAGGTCTGATCTGAAGCCTGCTGAAATCCAGGCTAATCCTCCTGTTGACTCCGATAGGTTTTGGATCTGACTCACAGGAGAAAAAAACTTAACCCTGAGGTCTGATTATCCTTTTCATGATCTGAAGTATTTTGGTTCTATTTCCCTTGCAGACAGTCATGTACCCACCAAGAACTTTTTGACCAGACAACACACCTGTATACCTCCTCTCTGTGTGGCTGTGAACACTTGTACCAAAATCTCTGCAACTTATCTTTTCAATAGCAATAACAATTCATATCTCTCTCTGTCTTCATATCCCTCTCATATCCATTCCCATGGATGCCAATCCATGGGTCTCAAAGCACTTTACACAGAACACCATTATCTCATTATCCCTATTTTAAAGGCAGGGCACTGAGCCAGAGAGAGAAGAAATACCTTGCTCAAGTTCCCATAACAGGCCTATAGCAGAGGCAGGAATAAATTCCATGTCCCCTGAACCCCAGTTCAGTGCTCCATCCCCCATCCTGCTCTGTTGTATTCTCCCCAATATAGCGACAAACAGTACGACTCAACACACTGCCATGCTGTCCAGCACAGAACATATTGTGGAAATAAAGTAAAACTAGAAATCAGTTGCAAGCAGAAGATTCAGCAACAAAAAGTTCAACCTGAAATTCTCATACGCTCATTCAAGTATCTCAAAACGTCCAGTGGGATTTTCTGCCTCTCTCTCTCGCTTTCTTGTTAGACCACCTAGCGATAGGCTAGGAAATGAATGGGCATGCTCCAATCACCTCTTCCTACTAGGTCCTGGTCTCCTTTTTGTATTTCTTCTTCATTCTGCTTCCCTACCCTGTTTCACACACTCTCCTTCTGTCTCCTCACTCTTCCTGCTGCTCTTATCTCCCTTCTCCTCTTCTTTCCTACTGATCTCCTCTCCGTTCAGTGCCTATCCTCTTTCCCCCTCCACCTTCACCTCAGGAGAGTGAAAGAGCTCTCACTCCGGGTCTGCTGTAGCTGATAGTGAAATCACTTACTGTTGCACCGGAAACACTGACTCTTGAGCTCAAGTTATGACTAGTATATAAAGCTGCTCGCAATTCTTCTGATGGAAAGATCTTCAGTTGAAAAAAGATTTAGTCAAAATCTTTTTTTTTAATGGAAACTTAATTCTTTGATTTAAAAATAATCTAGGCTTTTCCCCATTTTATTTTGAAGAAAGTCCAACCTGGTTATGTAGGACAAACAAATGGCTGCCCATTCTTACTGACATATTACAGAGGAAATTGTTTCAGATGTTCTCCCCTGAGATGAATTTGTTTCTTGTGTTTGAACCATAGCCATGTCTTGCTATTGAGCTGGAATATTACATTTTATTTCCCTCTGCTCCCAAACCATGTGGGGCCTGGGGAGTGGAGCTCTGCAGCATCCCTGAAACACCTTGCCTGGGCAGAGCAGTCAAGGGAACTGCTTTGCTGAGGACTTTAAAAAGGAGCAGCACTCTTCCACCCTTCTCTGTGCCAGCTAGAGAAAGGTTTGATCTAGGAGATGCTGAGCACACTCCACTCCTGCACAACTCATCAGGGACTGAGCTCCTCGTGAAATTGAGCTGAAGGGGCTGAGGATTAGCTCTGCCCAGAGGTGAAGACCCCTGCCACAGCAGCACATGCATTAGGCTGGAATCTTACTTAGAGGCTGAAAAGGAGCAGAAAAGAGTAGACCAAATAAATACTCTCCACGCCCACACGTCCAAAACCAGCTCAGCAGTGTTCTGCCCTCGAGCTAATCCCCAGATATGAAAGCATGATGACAACCCAGATCTTGGCACAGTATGAATGACACACCAGTTCTGAAACAGAAAGGCACCCCGTGCTTTCAACATTATGAAACCACACGGATGTACCAGGAAGTCCCGTTCTTCTTCTATCTGTTTTGCTTTTACCTCTAGCTGAGCCGAGCCGTCATTCAGCCCCTGCCATGAAGCTTGTGAATGCAGCCGGGTTCTTTGCCCTGGTGCCCACAGTGGTGTTAGCGCTGGAGCCCATCACTACCTCTCTTGCCATTGGAGGGGGGGCAGTTGTCACGTGGCAGCTCCTCTCCCAGGGCTCCTGGCTCAAGTGTCACTTCTGGAAGTGTTGCAATGTGAAGGACAGTCTGGATATCCCAGGTAACGGCAATGGCAAGCTATGAGGTGGGTTGAGTCAGTGGGCCCTGCTGAGTGCAGAGATGGGGGGGCACAAGAGAGGTGCAGCAGGGTACTTTTTCATGGCCACTGACCCTCTGATGGGAGAGATCAGCATCACTGCTCGTAGGCTTGCAAACTGGCAGAGACTGGTTTGGTTTAGTTTCATGATGTACTCTTGTTTGAGCTGTAGTTTGCTACAGTTTGTAGTTTGATGCTGCCCTCATTACTGTAGTATATGAGCTCTTTCTCAGGATTCATTAAGCAATGACTGACACCGGTCACGTGTTTCCTCTCTCTCCTCTCCCAGGGTAGAAGCAAAGGGAAGGGAGTGGGTTTTTATCTGTTTTATTTTATCCATGCACACACACCGCCATCTACCCACGCACCTTCACCACACACACACATGAACGTTACTGTATGTTTATACTGGAAAAGGGAAGGTCAAAGAAATGAAGAAGGTGAGGAGGTGTCTGAGGCCTTCATTACTTGGGGAGCTCATTCCACAGTCTCAAACTAGCCCCTGAGATGAGCTTTAACCTCATTCTGCCACAAGTAGCATGCGCAGCCTCTGAGTGTGGCATGTGGCAGATCAGGGACGGAGCAGGGAAAACAGTGGCAGGCAGTGCAGGGAGCAGGAAGCAGAGCAGCAGATTGGGGAGAAAGCACAGGGCAGGGACAGACAGCAGTGCAGGAGATTGGGCAAGGAAAGAAATCAGAGTGGCATTGGGGGAGGGCATATGGTTTAGCTTATGACACACCTGCCACCAAGGCTGGGCCCCATCAAGTTCTAGAAAGTTCTCTGGTGCCAAAAGAGCAAAGCTACATGGTATATACCTCAGGGCTTTAGCAAATCTTATAGATACCCTCAGACTACACATGGAGCCCCTGGACAGTAAGGACTGAAAGCTTAATGAGACAATGGGTCACATTGGTGCATCTGTCTCTCAGCTGCTGCAGCCACATGCCTTCCTCCATTCTGCTGGCTCACACCAGCAGAGAAGATAATACAACCGCTTCATGTCATGACAAGTTCCCCGTAAGGGACTTTGCCTTGTTAACAGTGACCTAGTTGATGCTGGCAGAAGCTCTTATGAAGAAGGAGTGAATTGAAGGTTGTGAGTGTGTTGCTCATCACTGCTCACTTTCTTTCAGCCGGGCACCCAAACGCTGCAGCACCCCAAATCTGAACTGGTCGCTTGCAACAATGCAGCTGCATAATATTTGGTGCTGGAGCTGGGATCACTGCTCAAGAATTCCAGGCTTGTTATCTCATGTATTCCCCACTGGCTCATCCTGCCTCCGAGCTCTTCCCTTTCTCAGATCGTGCTGTTTCATTTCTCTGAAGGAAGCCGTGTGGCTTTGCTGGACCCTCCCTAGAGAAAGAGGAAGTTGAGGAGCAGATCGTAGCTTGAAATGATTTGGAAACTGAGTTAGCTGATATATGGCTGGCTGTTGCAATCTTCCTGCAAATAAACGGCCTCACCCCCTGGAAATTCCCTTGCTGCCTGTGTCATTTGGCCTGAAATTACATGTCTCTAGAAACAGAGCCTCAGCCACTGAAAACTACTGTAGCTCTATTTATTTCCATGTACAACATTGCATGTGTGCTGTGGTCTGGGCTCTCATTTGCAAAGTATTTCATATTTTGCAACTAAAACTTTAGTCATGGCACCTCTCTGAAGAAGCAAAAACGGAAGTACAAGTTGCCACAACTGCAAGTTAAGTTAGATGCCAACAAGATGGCCTAAGATGACTCAGGAAGTGAAACAAAAATGGCCTCACAAAAATCACAGGTTCACATCCCAAGCCCACATAGGAGGCAGCAGCTAGAGTGCAGTTACCATGGGGATCTCCATGTACCTCATGCATGAGCTTGACTTCTATGAGCAGCCATCAAGGGCCTGATTCAGGGAGGGCATGGTCAATGTGAATTTCCTGATCATTCAGCAATAGCACAGGAAGGAAGGGACAAAGATGTGCTTACTGACAATAATCCCCCCTTGCTTCCCCAGCTTTGAAAATGGTTCTGAAACAGGAAGTCTTTGGGCAGCACCTTGCCACCCATGTGGTTCTGAAAGCATTGAGTGGGAATGCCAAAGTCAAACAGCCAACAAAACCCCTGGTGATGTCTTTTCATGGCTGGACTGGCACTGGCAAATCTTTTATCAGCAAAATCATAGCGAAGAACCTGTACCCACTGGAAGAAATCAGAAGGAGGTTTGTCCACCAGTTTGATGCAGTTCTTCATTTTCCACATGCTGAACATGTCAATCGGTACAAGGTATGTCCACTGTGACTCTGCTCTTTTAATGAGGCGGATGTGTCTCTGTGAATCTCACATACACAGCTAATCTATATTAGAGGATTTCTATATCCATCACTGGTTGTAAATCACCTGATTTAGAAAATGAATCACATCTGGAACTAATTTGGGCTACATAATTTGATTATAGCCTTTTAGCAACCTGCGGTTCAAGGAATCTCTAGGCCACATTTCTAGGGACAGAACTTATTGTATTATGTCATAACATTGGTCTGTTTAGTTTAGTATTCCCTTTTGCAGACCTATTCAAGCTAACTCCCAATGAATAAGAAGGGTTAGTGCTTAACATCTCATGGAATCTAAATCCACCCAAGTGTTTCCCACATGGATGTGCCACATGGTCCGACCTTGCTTCCACTGAAACCAGTGGAAAGTCCTAACGTATGAGTTTAGGCTCCTATAGCGCTGCCATGACATTAACAGCCCCTCCAAATTCAAGCACTAATGAAATCCCCTGTGGAAATAGCTCTAGCTTCCAGGTCGGTATCCACTCACAGGTGATACCATCCATCCCCACAGGAGCAGCTGCAGAACTGGATTCGAGGCAATGTCAGTGCCTGCCCAAGATCACTCTTCATTTTCTCTGAAATGGAGCAGATGCCACATGGGCTGATTGACTCCATCCTACCATACCTCAGTCACCGTGGGAAGATTGATGGTGTCTACTATGGCAAGGCCATATTCCTCTTCCTGAAGTAAGGAAATCCAGTGGACACCAAATAATTGCAGTCCTTCAGAATCAGCTAAGGAAGAGGGAAGAGCTTGTACTAGTATGCCTTCAGTACACTGCAGTTTGCTTGTACAGGTTCAAATACCTTAGTATCCATGTTCTCTTTGGACACCATGAAGGGACCACCCAGTATGTGATAAATGAGCCTGTCTAGTCATCATATCACTCAGAACACTTGAGACCAACCATAGCATAAGCAGAAAAAGGACTGGGCAACAACTAAACTTATCCTGTGGCTGAAGTGGCTCTCTTCTCTCAGCCAAAGCAATGAACAGCCAGATGTAGAAGTTGGCTCCCAAGCCCAATGGACACATCAACTTAAGCACTGTTCAGTGAATCTATTTCTCCAGCTCCATTCATTCAATTAGCTGTCTGCAGAGGGGACTCTGTGCAAAAGTGAGGGTGGTTTTGGTGGGGATATCAAGGATACCCATATACTGAAGGTCCCCTTCATGCACAGATCAAGGGAGCAGTATCTAGCTCATTGTGCTCTTCCTGGAGAAGGGCTCTCCTGGGGGTCATTCTAATGCTTGAGGGAATTTCTCTTCTGACAGCAATGCAGGAGGGGATATGATAACAGAGGTGGCTCTGGACTACTGGAGGCAGCAGAAAGGAAGAGAAGAAATTCCCCTGAAGGACCTGCAGTCTCGGCTTTCCCAGGAGATTTTCAGTAACAGGAATAGTGAGTATTTTCAGAGCTGCATGGGACCCTGTGAGCATTGGTCTCTGTAAAATGCGGGGTGCAAAGAACTAAGGTAGACCCAAAACTAAGGTGGCCCTGCAAAGAACTAAGGTGGACCCAGCTACATACTCCTACAGCAGGGTTTTCATTGTTGTTTTAGAGCACTCCATGGGAAATCTTCTGAGATGGATTAGCCAGCATCTGGTCAGGGCCTTCACATCCTTAGATGGCAGTCAGTGCAGGAGAGCAAAGCACTTGCCCAGATCTCTCTTCCTCTCTCTCCCCCTCCCAGGTGGCTTTTGGCAGAGCAAGCTGATCCAAAGGAACATGGTGGACTATTTTATTCCTTTCCTTCCTCTGGAATATACACACGTGCGGGAGTGCGTCCGGGTGGAGCTGCGCTTCCAGGGCCACCATGAAGATGAGGACCTCATCACAGACATTGCCTTAGCGATGGCCGACTATCCCAGCAATGAGAGACTCTACTCCAGCAAAGGCTGCAAGACGGTGGCCTCAAAGGTGAACCTGAGCATCTAGAAGGTCTGAGTGCACAAAAATAAAGAGGAAACAACAGCTGGGCCCTTTCTCCTTCCCTAACCAACTTCTCAAACTAAATTATTTGGGGCAGGGAAATATTCCTTAACATATTGAAAGCCCCAAGTGAACTTCTTTTTGTAGATCAAGAAGATCCCTTTCCTACATTAGTAGATGCTGCTGTATGTGAATGAAAATAAACGTGGTCTATATTTTTAATTCTCTCTTTCATTTCTTGGCAAGCTTCTTCTTAGCTAATACCTTCCTCTATAGAGAGCAGCAGGAGCTGGCACAGGACAGGCAGGGGAGCTCACGGGCGAATCTAGAACTCTGAAAAGGTGGGTGTAGATAGTGAGGTGCATCATCCCCTAGAAAAACTACATACTTTTATCTCTATTTAAAAATAAAGAAGTTTTACTCATATGATAGGGGCCCGTGACAGGGGCTGTATTATTCCATTTGAAACCAAAGTAAAAACAAGTACAAGTTGGAATGAGTTACAATCTGAAGAGCTGAAAATAGGAGCATTTTTACCAGGAGCAGCTCACAGACAACAGCATTGCAGAACAAAGACTAGCCTGCTTGGTGGACCATCACGACTATCATTAATAGCTGGGGAATAAAATATTTAGAAGGGATATGGTAGATTACAATGAGCCATTAAGTCAATGGACTCCCTCAGCACTGCCTGACTAAAAATGTTGCTGCTGCCAGGCAGTTGATTTTAAACTTTGGGTGAAGCAAACTCACAGAGGGGTGCAACTGCACCATTGCACCCCACTACATCCACCTGGGGGGGTGGAAATCAGCCTAACGTCTTTTGGAGGGTTATGATTGAAGCAAAAGGAAGAACGATCAATTAAACAGAACTGCTGAGTCTGGTATGCTTGCCCATCTTTTCCCTCACCACTAAGTGACAATTGTGTGCACTTGAGTTCAAAACATACAATATGGAAAAAAGATTTTCTAGAGAACAAGACAGAGGAGAGAAAGCCTAGTATGGTGCTCTGAAAAGCTAGGAACCCCAATAGATTGAAACCACAGCAAGAATTAATTGGAACAGATTCCTCACAAAAGAGCTCCTAATGCTTCTCTTTAAAAATACAAGCTATGTTCTGGTATATCCATTACTGACCACAGACTCACACACCTAATAGTGACAAGTGATCTACTCCATGAAAAGAGGTATCGGAAGGCATTACACAAGCACATGCACCTCCCACCCCCAAAGTGAACTCTTTCTAACATTTTATAAAAGTCCTTTTGAGGATCCAATGAACAGCACTGTTGGGGTAGGCAGGAAGGTGGATAAAAAGCGGACTCTTGATACCTTCTAGAACTCAGGTTCTCATACCCTACAAGGCACTGGTTGCCAGTACAACTGGATGATGTTTAACTGCAAATAAAAATACTTTTTACATGAGTTAAATCACACAGAGATTTCTGTCAGCATCTAGTTTTTCAGAAACCATGACATCAAGAGAACTGGGAAGAAGAGGGGGAAACAGAAGTTACGTAGTGACTAGTTAAACTAAGGGAAACGTACAATCACTTGAAAAATGCAGAAGCAATGCCATGTGCTGCACTCAGCGCCAGTTAAAACTTGCTAAAAAGAAAGCTAAGGAAGCAAAACTACAAAGTAAAACTCTCTTAGTAAAGGAAACAAATAAAAGGGCTGATTTTCCTCTCTTTCACACTGCTTTGACGCTGGTGCCAGTCGACTGATTTCAGTGGAGTTCCCTCTGAATTGCACCAAGGCAAGATTTTAGTTAACTGAAACAGAGGCTTCGAGCCGATTGCAAAGGCTTGCATGTGGCTACATGAGATGAGAATGAGCCCCGGCGCTCTTAAACAAGCGGTGGGGGAACGGGGTGTAATGCAAGATTATCTCGACTCCACTTCTGAAGTCCTCATCCAGACTTCCCTGCTCGCTCAGCCGTGCTTATTACAGCTCCCTTTCCTCTGGTCTTCCAGCAGCACCGACCTGTTTACCTGCACAGAGCATTACAACACAACGCGGTCATCCTTACACAGCTACGCTTGGGAGGGATGAAATGTTCCCATAAAACCTCCCGTCGGGTTGTTTTTAGTGTAGTATTTCCCTACCTGGTTGTAGAATTTAAGGCCGTTGAGCAGACGTGCGTATTGACCCATGGGTTTCTCAGTGTTTACTCTGATGCAATGGCCCGTAAAGCTTCACCTCTGACCGGCGGGGCCGTTGACGTGTCCTTTCCAGGTGTCACCCTAAGCAAAGGGCGAAGCAGCGTTCAGCCCGCTTCAAAGTCAGGAAAGGCGTCAGCGCTGAGATTTAGAGTGCTTCGGCCTCCTCGCAGCGAAAGACGCGCCGTGCCGCTGCCAGCCCGTGACCCCGCCGCCCGGGGACAAAGGGAACGACACGTCCGGCTCATCGCAGGGGAGACCAGGCCTTGGGATGCTTCCCACCGCCACGGTCTTCCCGCCTTGCATTGGTGTATTGCATCATAACGTGATGACCTCATTTTGCAATGTCCTCCATCGCATCACGAGGCGATGACGCCACATCCACGTGCAACTGAGGCGTGGTTGCGCCGTGAGGGGGGCGTCGCGATGTACCCCCGAAACTCTGAGGGAAGGGGGTTGTGACAGGCGGGAAAGAGGGGCTGTTGGACGGGGACAGACAGGCGAGGGCCTGGGTACAGCACAAGGCCTGCGTGCCCCTCACCAAGATGACCGGACAAGGCCTACGTGCCCCTCACCAAGATGGCAGGTGCGGGGCGCGAGCGGGTGTCGCGAGACTTCCCCTGCCCTTGCTATGGGAATCTAACCCCTCCCCCCCCACGCGTACACGCACACAAGATGGTACTATTGTTAACTTAACTTATTTAGTCTTTAAGGCTCTTTGGGCCACCCTCGTTTGGTGGCCGATGGTGTTACCGGCACCCGGCTGGTCGCCGGGCAGGTCTTGTTTGGAGCAGCTGTTCACAAAAAAAAAAAAAAAATTCTTCAGGGGCCGCCCCTCTACCTGCGT